AAAAAAAAAAAAAAAAAAAAAAAATTTCTAAAACCATCACCGTGCACGATGACGCTCGAACGAGCGTCGTTCCATTAATTCAACTTTCTATAAGCGGTGGCCGAGGGAGAAAATTTTCCTAGCAAGTTCGTGAACCGTGAAAGTCGGGCCAATTAGTATCGAGGTAAAAATTCACCTGTGCGTTTCAAGGGCCGTACGCGTTAGTTTAGAATCCAATTCGCCATCCTGCGCACGATTGTTGAAAAAAACAAAAAGCAATTTAGCCTAGGAATCATCATCAAGGGGAATAAAGGAGGGAAAGGTGTCGCCACGGCGCCGTGGCGGACGCCTAGGCGCAGAGGAGAAGGTACGAAGGAGGGTAACCGCAGACAGGAAGTTAGTCCTTCCTTCCTCCGGCCGGGCCAATATCCTGAATTACAATGAGCCGACGCGTTTCCTCGAACCGTCGTCAGAGGCTATTTAAATACAGCCACCGACAGTTTCCATATATCGCCGCGATATTCATGCCTATAGCTGTCCCCACGGCTTAGCGTGGAAGGAGGCCGAGCGCGAAATTGCCCTCTCTTATCACCGTTCAAACAATGACAAAAGTTCAAGGGAAAAGAACGATCTCTAGTGGAGCTATCCGTGAAAGTGTAGCGACGGAGAGCGGAGCAGAGAAGGCGGGAGACGAGTGAGAGTTATGGAGAAGGAAATTCGCGAAGGAAATTCCCTCGGAGGAGTCGCGATCAAAATATGTCGAGGATCGAACACGTGAGAGACGACTAAGCGTCGATAGCGATGTAACGTTTAATTGCACGAAAATTGGCCTGGCATACAAGGTCGAAAGAATGAAATAGGCGACCGATAAGATAAATAAAGCGAGCCGAGGCACGCGTGTGGTAATTAAACAGGTTCGATTTCGATTGCTTCGATTAGACAGGTGGGGATCAGATAATGATTTTATTTTCTTTTAAGTTAAGGGGTAAAGACGTAGAAACTTGAATTCTTTCGTGGATACGAAATGATCGTTTGAAGAACTTATTCTTCTATTAATTATTAAAAACCGTATTTAAATGCTTGGATCAATCCCTTTTCAGATTACATTGATAAAGGATAAAATGAGAATGGAATTTCGTCCTTAGTGTAAATTTGGAATAACGAAAAGAGTTTATTATTATTCGTCGATATGTAGGACGTATCCGTTTTTCTTTTTTTTTTTCTTAGTTGATCGCAACCCCCGTTGCTCGATTAACTTCGCGGTGGTTGCTCAATCGACGAACACTGCTTTCTTCCCTCTCGAAGCGATCGAACGGTCTTCATTTCCTGATTAACCCGCCAACGGTCCGGCTCTCTCTTTCTTTCTCTACCTTCTCGAATATATAGAAGAAGAGAGCCGGAAGTAATCTGTCTTCCTCTGCTCGTGGCCGAGGCACTCTCGCGAAAGAAGAGGATAAGAGAGCTAGGGAGATGAAGAAAGAAAGGAAAAGTGAGGGATGGATGGACGGAAGAAGAGAAGAACGGAGAGAACGTCCGCTCGAATTCACTTGGAGTGATTTAAAGGCTGGAATTATCCTTTTCTCCCCTTCCTCCGCGAATATCTTCCTTGCTAACCATTATATATCTTCTGTTGCGTGCCTCCCTCGATTCTTTTATATCGTACAATGTGGATCCTCCTTTTTCTCCGTCTTTTTCTCCTCCTCATCACGTTAAAAGAAAAGAGTTCATCTTTAATCACGTGTTTCTGCGTAACCATATATACTACTAGAGGATAACGAGAGAAAATCAGAAAAGAAAGAGGGAAGAGATTTCTTTTTTTTTTATTTTTTATCGCGGACCGATTTGTATCTGCTTTCGTAATAATCAGAGACCCGATCAATTTCACATCATTCAATATATATTTATTCCAACTTATCTACACGTGATTGGAGCAGTTTGTGTAATGATAAAACATGCTTTTCCATCGTTTATTGCCATTTCCATCGCGACACCGTTTTCATCCAATGGAATATTAATAAGCCGTTACACCGCATTACGCGCAGCGTCGAATCGGTCAGTTCACTCAAAACTCAACGAGCTTTTAATTAAACATGGAGATGGATCGTGTTGCTCGATATGTCTTCAAAACGACTAGAATAATCGTGCGGATTATTAACGTCCAATGAAATCGTGTTTGTCTTTCTCCCTCTATATGTTCCTCCATGGTACATTTCTCCTCTTCCCTTCCCTCATCAATAGTAAAATAAGCAAAGATTCGAGTTGTCGTAGAAGGTGAATTTATAATCCGTAGTCCTACCGAGCTACCTGCCCCGTGAAAGGTTTCGAAAGTTTTTCCGGGTGCCACGGGAAAGAGGGGAAAGACCGCAAAAGCCAACGAGCCGGCCACCGGTAGCACCGAAAGTAAACTTTAGAGTGCCTGCAGCGGTCAAATATCTCTTTCTCTTTCTTCGGCCCTTTCCAACTTTTCCCCTTTCTTCGTTTCCTTTTTCTCGAAATAGACAGTCTACTGATAGACAAGATGAAAAGAGATATCGAATCGATGCACCTTTTGAGAGAAGAAATTTTCTCTCTGGGCCTGGTAATAGATTCGAAGAAAGGATCCGAGGGAGGAGAAGGTGAAACGGTCGTCTTTTTTCGTCTAAACAAACGTCGATGTTTTTTCGTATGGGAGGAAAAAAAACGGCGCAAAAAACGTCAACGTTTCTGGTTGACGAGGTATATTGGTGGACGCGTTACTTTTTTTACAAGGGAGTAGGATCGACTTCGTCGACGTCCCCCTCTTTTTACCGTGTCCGAAGAAAACACGTGCATCGAGTTGGCCGTTCGATGATCACTAGTTTCCAAGGAGCTGTGTTTTTTTTTCTTTAACGGTCTTTTTTACTTGTTTTGAACCACGCGATATATCGCTACGTTCGTTCTATAACGTTCTATAACGTTCTACAACGTTCTATAACGTTCGAAAAATTTTTAAAAATTTCTACACTTTCTACCTTGGTTACGCAGGCAAATTTAAGATTGCAGAACCGGTGAAAGTTGAAAAATCGTTTTACCCGGGGGAAAAACCCTCGAGGGCACGTGGAGGTCACTTATTCGCCCCGAATGCGTAAACTGTGACGAAAATGAAAAATGAGAGAAATTTTTCGAAAATCTTAAATCCACTTTCTCCTCCACTCGAGGACCTCGGCTTTTCCTTTCATTAGAATCTATAGGAAAAAGAATAGATGATCCCTACTGGGACGCATTTCAAAAAGGGTTAAAAATGTTTTCTCTAACTTCCGGCATCTATTGTGTCAAGAATATTATCGACGAATCCTATGGCTCTCTTAAAAAAAAACTGTCGCCTTACCATTTACACCCTTCTCTAAGACTTTCGAAATAACATATTTATCAATTTATTCATGAAATTATATCTTATATAATAACTAATTGGGAGAAAAAAAATTTTAAAGAGATACAAAGAGTGACGCAAGACAACGAATCTACAAGGAAGACTATGTCGCGGTAGAGCAAGAACAGTGATACGAGAGATTAATTTCGTTGGGGTTGGGGCAGGTCACAAGGTATTATCTTCCTTCGGTGTCACAAGGCAATGATGGATAAGGAGGGAAGAAGGGAAAGATGAGATAACAGCGAAGAAATTGCAAAATTATTTAAGGAGCCGAAATATCACGGCGCGAGTTAACCGTCACCCAAGTCTCATCGTCGAACGACCTTCGCGGGTTGGCTTGCGTAATATTTTTATCGGTCGAAATTACACATACGTTCACGCATGCATGCACGCACGGTCTCTCTGTCGTGTCCCTCTCTTTCACTCTCGCAAGCTACCAAATACAAGTCGGGGGTACGTATTTTCGGTTGAATATATATATATGACACACACTATCTTTTTTTTCGGTTCTTTTTTATGATATGTATTGCGTATGTGACTTCGATCATGCACATATACATTTACATATCGATAAAATTTCGCGGTTTAAATGTAGAAACGATTTAATCGTGTTTGAAACGAGAAGTTGAATTTGATGAAATAAATGATCGATCAATCGAAAGATTTATACTTCCTGATTTCGAAGTATTTTATTTACGATTTGTTAGATAACATCGTTGACAACTGATGAATGTGATGATTAAATTACTGGCATTATCGATGATTACGTATATTATGCATAAAGACAGGTTTTTTATGAT